CGGCGGGAGGGAGCGGGGTCCCCTCAGAGCCGGGAGGGAGCCGGGTCCCCTCAGAGCTGTGAGGGACCAGGGATCCTCTCAGAGCTGGGACAGATCAGAGTCACCTCAGAACTGTGAGGAATTGGGGTCTCCTCAGAGCCAGGAGGGATCAGGGATCCCCTCAGAGCTGGAAGAGATCAAGGTCTGTGCAGCCAGGAGGAACTGGGGTCCCCTCAAAGCCGGGAGGGAGTGGGGTCACCTCAGAGCTGTGAGGGATCAGGGATCCTCCCAGAGCCATGAGGGACTGGGGATCTTCCTAGAGCCAGGAGGGCCTGGGGTCCCCTCAGGGCTGAGAAGAATGGAGGATCCTCTCCAGAGCCGGGAGGAACTGGGGATCCTCCCAGAGCCACGAGGGGCTAGCGTCAGGCTGAGAAGAAGGCTGGGATTAGGAACCTCCTGCTCAGCACAGATCCAAAACACGGCCTCCCACCAGCTGCAATGAAGCATGCAGCTTCTGACCTGCCATGACTCGGGCTGCTCTGGCCGCGTGAAGCACCACCCAGGGATGATGAAAGCTCCACCCAGGGATGATAAAAGCTCAAAGCTGGTTCATGGAAGGTGCGGAGACTTCACGATGCATCTCAGGGTGGGCGTAGGAGACCTTGCACTCCCCAAATCCTCCCTCCCTCCCCATCACATCTTCTCTTGCCTTGCCCTGCAGCTTCTGCTCTTTCCCATAAGCACCACTCTGTCTGTGCACACGGAGGATTTCTCTTCTTTCTCTCGGTCGTGGAAGAGTAGCACATTTCTGTGTCACTTGACATTTCTTCTCGGATCCAGGGTTGCATTTTTTTGCAATTTAAGCAGCACGAATCTCAGAATAGCTCTGAGATTTGTTATAAATACACATATTTGTCTCTGAAATACAGGGGAGCTGCACAGGGAAACTATGACTCACCGTGCAAAATACCACTTCATCTGTACCATCAAAGCAGCATCAAGAAGTGACGACACAGAGAGCACGTCAAGTGTTTCTGGTGCTCGCACAGCAGTTAACGCATGAAGTCTCCCAGTCAAAACAAGAGAGCGGTGTTGAGGTGTCATAACCCCTTGCAGCTGGAACACCCGTATATTCACTATCCGATCACCGATTCTTTTACGGTTGTGGCTCCAGAGACACCTCTCAGATGTGAGCACGACATCAGACGCCTGTCAGCTTCTTCATTTTCTTTAACTAATGTTTAAAACTAAAACATCTAATAATAACAAAGGGGTAGAAGGTCAGCATCAATGCTGCGGTTGCTGAAAACTTTTTGCAGGCAGCGGGATCAATGTGACCTGCCTGCAGCATGAGAATTGTCTAGTGAGCTTATTTACATCCTATTTTTAGATACCCTTCCATTCAGGCCCCGTTCGGGTCGCAGATACGCACACGGAAAACAATTCTCATGCTCAGGTTCCACCGCAATGTTAAAAGAAAAAAACAATGAAAACTCACTCCATTCTCTTTCTGATTCTAGGTAGACCTTTTCCCCTCCTTCGGTAAGGGATGGTACTACAAACTGCCATTTACCAGCAGGTAAAATGGCTTTTAAAAAGACCCCAAAAATTGAAGCATTTAGAACTTTCACCTTTAATCCATTCAGGTTTAACGTTACAGTTATTAAAAATTAAGTATCTACTGCTGCAAATTTAACGGGCATTTTACAAACAGAGAGAAACCAGTTCCCTGCCCTGAAGGCTCACAGTCTTGAGTAACAGAAGTGTAAAACACAAACAAGCAGTTCACCCGGGCTGGGTAGGAAACCCCTGGAGAAGCGATTAATTTACCCGCTCATTGGACAGGACCCAAACTGCTCGTCTGGGTATCGAACACCCCACACTGCAAACCTCCAGGAGACTCCCCTGCAGCACGGCAAACGGGGGAGAAAAACCGGTCTGTGTGCACTGCCTGGCATGTGCAAGCGGCCACTGGACCCTGAGAAGTGACAAAACATGACGCTCTCTGTCCTCACAGATTTCTTATTTGGAAAAAAAAAAGGATGGGCCAAAGCAGGGCAGCAATAATGAACAGACCTGGAAAGAAACCCAGCGCCTCGGCCAAAGGAGTTTCCAGAGTGAAACATCTGCCACAGCGGCCAACTGGAGCCGGAGGAACGCCTCTGCCTCTGCCTCTGCAGGGATGAGCCCGCCACCCGCACCCTCCCCTGGGCAGGGACTTTGGGACCAGGGAGCGGCAGAAGGGTTTCTAAAGCCCAATTAACGAGGAGGAAAACGAGCAGCAGGTTTAGAACAGGTCGAGCAGCAACGCCAGCCCTGAAGTTGGGCAATGTGTTTGGGCAATTTGCTATTTCATAAAATTCATAAAATAAATTTCCTAGGCTGGGAATTTTTTCTTAACAGTGTGGGATATGAGAAAGGCTGATCCACAAGAACAAAAACCATTCGTACCCCAAGCGACCAGGAGGAGAAGGATAATGGAATACAAAGCAGAGAAGTTAATGTACCAGCAGCCAGAAGAAAATCACCCCAGCACCCACCGCAGCCTGTGAGTGGAGGTGTGCCCCACCTCTGCCTTACAAGTGGTTTCCACTGGGGGGTCCTACAGAGGGATGAGGAGGGGTTTGGGCGACGCCACCTCCTTTGCGTGTCCCCAGAAGTTAGCGACGATGGAGCGAATTCCCCTCAGTGACTGCAGCGCAGACCCAGGGTCTCAAGTGGCGCACGTCCCAGCGCACATCAGAAGAACCCCAAGCAGAACGGGGCCCAGCCATCAAAATTCACAGCAAACTAAACCTGATGTCGAGGTCCAGAGAAGGAACTGAACCCGTCTTTTCCAGCTAGCTTCCTGAGCAGAAGCAGCAGCAAAAATGTCATTTGGGCTGTGCTGAGGCACGGAAAGAGATGGGAACCGACTGGCTGCCCCTCCTTGGCACTGGGGATCTGCACAAGCCGCCGGCGACGCTGTACCCTGTGCATGGGTTTAGTTGCCAGAAGCCTTTTGCGAATGTGCAACTCACAAACTCACCCGTGAAACTGAGGATAGTCAAGGGCAACAGCCAGGGAAACTCCAGGCAAAGCAGAGCTTCAAAAAACTCAGCCTCCCTGGAACCACGTCAAACAGCTGACTCAAATCTGGAGAGGCCTGAAGCTCTCATTCTGGAGGGATTTTTGGGCAGACTACGAGGTGCTGCGGCACATCACCACCACGAAGAAAAGGGCAGCGGCGCCAAGGTGGATCCTGATTCTGCTTCACTTGGATCTTTGGGATGAATTGTCCGAGAGCCTTTAACACCAAGCAGCAGCGACGCGACTCCTCTCCTCTCCTTGGGCTGTAGGGCCGCGGGAGCCCGCGGAGCTCAGACGCCGTGGAGTGGCGCCTTCCTTGCACCCTGCGTGTCTGCACAGGTCCTCTCGCGCAGGTGGATCTTCTGGTGCTGGAGGACGTGATGCTTCTGGGTGAAGCGCTTCGGGCACTCGTTGCATTGGTACGGCCTCTCTCCCGTGTGGATCCTCTGATGCCGGATGAGATTGGAGGGCTGGCTGAAGGTCTTCCCACAGTACATGCACCAAAGGACCCCTCTGCTCCGGCCCGAGTGCGTACGCTGGTGGATCACGAGGGTTCTCTTTTGGGAGAAGCACTCCTGGCACTTGTCGCACCTGTACAGCCTCCCCCGTGGGTGGCTCTTCTGACCTGGCTTGTAGCTGCTGTTGGCGTTGACGCTCCTCACGCACCTTGGATTGCCAACCGCCTTGTCCATGGCATTCCAGTTCTGCCTGAACCTCTCCGTGGCCACACAGGTCCCATCTTCTATGTGCATCCTGTCTTTCCCGTGGCTCTGCCGGTGCTGCTGATGGAGGAAGCCCTTGTTTCCATCGTGCTCCCTGCTGCACTGCGTTCCGTGGCTCTGCTGCTGAGCCGTCAGCATTAGACAGACGCCCTTCCTGTACCCCGCACATGAGTGAGGTCTCTCTTTGGGACAGTTTTGCCCGTAGAACGTGACAGCGTTGCTTTCACCAAGACCCTCTTCCCCGGCAGCGGAAGGCACCAGCGTGCTCACACTCTGGTCTCCCTGCTGCACGGGAGAGCTGTACTGACCATCGAAGGGCTGTGCCGCACCAGGACCCTGGAAAACCAGCTCCTCCGACACCCTGGATAAAGCCGTGGGGGGCTCAGAGCTGTGGGGGCATTCCTCAGAGTCCGGCTGCTTTATTTTGAATGTTATCACCTCGTCTGCTGGAACTGACAGGAACAACAAAGGTGACATTCACTGGTATGGGACACAAGAGGCTTCTGAAATCCCCCCACTCCCCCCCTGCCACCCGGGGATCACACAGACCCGTCTGACACAGGACAGGGAGCACGAGAGGCAGCTGTGCTCTCAGAGCAGCCAGCTGAAAAACCGAAAGAGAGAACACGAGTGGAAAGCACGGGGATGCTCCCCTTCCAGCCAGCTGAGCAGCGGCTGCAAGAAGCCACGAGGGAGTGGGCAGAGGGAAGTGCCACCTTCCAGGACAGCCCCGAGTTCAGCAGTTCCCAAAATCATCTCCAGCCACCTTCCTCCTCCTGAGCACTAAGATCTCCTGGAGCTGGGGCAGCCCTTTGCCCCCCTCCCCACACCAAGGACTCGGTTTTGCTCTTCTGTGACCCACTGGTGGAAAACCAGCCAAGGGTCAGGGATGGAAACTAACACACAGCCAGTTTGGAAGCTGCCAACAGCGCGAGGGCAGAATCCAAACGAAGATCGGCTCCTGTCCGGAGAGGGTCGTTCCCCAGTGCTGCGCAGTGACACACTGGAGAGGTGACAACACGCAGAGGCTACACAAGGGGCATAAGGAAAAGCCTCTAAGATTTCATCACAGCTGGGCAAATACCATCAAAACCCAAGCAAGCCGCACTGACACCTCCGAGGTGGCACAAGGAGAATAAACAGATCAGGACTGAGGGTGAGGAATTACCCGGTGAGCTGGGGACAGTCTACTAACCAGCTAAATCTCATGTTGTTATTGGGAATAACCGAGCCATCCCCGCTCACCGGTGACCTCCCCGGGCTCTGGGCAGCTGTGGAGGCACTGCTCCGGAGCACCGCTCCCCCTCCTGAGGATGCTGCCACCAAGCAGCAGAAACTCCAGGAGCAAAGCAGCAGATGTGCTCTGGAGAAGGCGTGACAGGACCCACAGGACGGAGCAGAGTGTTGCAGGGACGGGCAGTGCGCTGCGGCAGCCAGGGTCTTGCCGAATGTGGGGACTGGCTGGGGAGTCCTACCGCGTTCAGCCTCTCCCGATACGGAAGCTCTTCACCTCGCTGCTCTGCACCGCGTCCCTGCCGACTGCGTTCCTGCCAAGACTGACCGAGCAGAGCCTCACTCAGTTCCCCAGACACTTTTGCATCTTTGGAGAAGACCCTAAGAATTGTTCTTGACATCATTCCTAAGGATTCCTTGTATCCTGTCTGATTTATTTCAGGGATGCCTCTTCTCACTTGCAGCATCTCGTCCACCCAGCACTTTAATCCTCCCACTAGTGAAACGATCTGCACACTTTCCACCCTCACCTCAGCGTGGCTCTTGCTCTTTCCCCACCACGCCGCCTGCCTCTCCTCAGTCCCCGTGTCTTGTCACACGCTGTCCCACAGCGGGATCACCGAGGACTCCCCACATCTCCAGCTGCCCAGCGCACGGTGGGATCGCTCAGCACTCACCCACGCTGAGCTTGGTAAACTCCGCATTCTCCGTGGCTCCCGGCTCCTCCGCACACAGCTCTTCTTGCTTCACAGCGCCCGCAAAGCTCGGCTCCGCAACGCCGCAGTCTGCTAAGAGAAAGAGGAGAATTCTTCACGCGTTATCACAGTGCCGCTCGGCCCTTCCTTTGCCCAGGTTTGCTGCCAGCCACCCTGCTTCCATACACAACCCTTCTCCAGCATCTCCCGTTCCCACTTGTGGGAGCTTTTCTCTGCCCCAAGTGGTTCCCCAATTCTCCCCCATTTCAGGAGCGTCCTCCCCACCCACGCGTCCCAGCACACCCTCTCCAAACAGCGCTCACTGGGTCTGGGTTCAGCCAGCGTGGTTCTCCCCTCCAGGCTCCCCCCCGCTGCCCTGGCCATTCGCACCAAGTCTGGACAGCAGCGACTCTGCCAACAGGAAAGGTCAAACCCGTTACGCGTTTTTCTAACTCTCTGTTACTCCCCGTGCACCCGCTCCTCCCGAGCTACGTTCCCTCTGCAGCCAGTCAGGACCATCACCTGGTGACATCCTCTGCCTGGTGACACCGCCACACAAACATTATGCCCGAGAATAAAGCTGTAATGCGTCTCTTGCCTGCACTAGGCTCTGCTGGAACCTCTCCCGAAGCCACCTTGTCCCCACTGCCGGGCGATTCTCCTCTCTGCAGCCAGGACAGGAGGTCGGGTTTGGCGATCGCATCGTCTGCCGAGGAACAGAGAGACGGAGGTTTCCGTGCTGCCCCAAAACGCCCACGGTGTCCACGGGAGGAACACGCTCCCCAAGCCGGCTCCATCGGCCACGACACAGCGCTCGGCGGCACGGAGAGTCCTCGGGGAGACGGCGGCTCTGTGTTCCTGCAAATCTGCTTCCCAGCTCTGGGAAAACGTCCCCAAAACGGAGCCACCCCAGCAGCACGGATCACGGAACAAGCGACGGGCACTTACCCAGAGAGATCAGAGGTTCGTTCTTCGCCCTCAGCACGTTTCTGTACAGCTCCCTCTGCCATTCCTCCAGGTTCTCCCGCTTGTGAGCAGAGAAGCAAGTGGCCTCGCCTTCAGACGTCGGGACCTGCAATGGCAAAAGGGACATGCTCCAGGTCTGGAACCCTGAGCTGAGGAGTCCTTGTTTGTATTTATTCCTGCTTCAGGAAAGGAGAAAAAATTCCTGCCCTGGGGTATTCTCCTGACCCCAGAGAGGAATGACTTTAAGGAACTTTGCTAATTGCCAGAGAACCGCACTGCGAGTTCCACGATATTCTGCCCTGTGCAGAGCCTGGTCCCTCCAGGCGGGTGGCTCCTGGACCCCGGTGTGGGGAGGAACCTGCTCTTTAGCATAAAAATGACAAAATTTTTTGCGGGGACGCACAGCTGGATCTAAACGCACCTGAGGAAGCGCTCCCTGACCGATCCTTAGGTCCAGCAGGTGACGC